ACAGGCACCAGGCACAGGTTCAGCCCCGCGCTCTGGTGCCCTGCACAGGGTGCCCAGGGACCGTGCTCCACAAAACTTGTTGAGTGTGTGTGCATAAGGTCCTTAGCCATTCTGAGCTTCAGTTTCCTTCTCTGTAAGTGGAGGTAAAGACTGTCCTCAAGCTGTGTGTAAATCTCTCGGCCCAGCACCTGTTCCCCGGGAGATAGGCAATAAATGGTGCTTTTGGCAACACATATTCAAACCCTTCAAAAGTGTGCTTTCTCTTTGATTCAGCAGTGCCACGCATTGGAATTCACCTAAGAAGGTACAGCAGTGCAAGGGTATCATGGCAGCCCTGGAGCAAAGTGTCTGCTTGTAGGGAATTTTTGGGTCATGGTATATCCATGCAATGGAATGTTATGCTGTCCTTTAAAATGGCAATGATATTTGACATGAAAAGACATCCATAAATATATCAGGTGACCAAACAAGCTCCCAGAATTGCACGTGGAGTATTATCTGCTCACACACATGGATATGTGTACACATATGCAGTGAAAAGGTCTGGAAAGATAAGACACCAAATGTTAAGAATAGTCAGGCTAAAAGAGAATTAAAAGTGATCATATATTTCTATTTTCTAATTATTTTCAGTAGGCATGCATTTACTTCTATAATTATATTAAAAGAAGTGAAGGGAAAAAAACCCTCTCCCTGTCTGTGATCTCCTCTCCCACTCTCCCATACTGATGGTCTAAACACCATCTCTAGCTTTCATGGCCCTTCCATTTCAAAACCCCTCTCTCTTCCAGGTTAGTTGTTTCTGATTTTGCAGTCCCCAGTCCCTAGTACTCCAAGTCTATGTCCTTGATTCCTGGCCTACCAGACACCTGTTAGGCACTTGAATTTGTTTTCCCAGTTAAATCTCAGAACACCACTGTGGATGAGGTCCATTTTACCCAACAACAAACAAAAATACATATCAAGAGGCCAGCTTCCCGCCTCCCCTCTCCTTTACTCCAACTCCTGTGCATCCTTCATAAGCAGGTTCCTGTGATGTCTCCTGTGATAGCCGCACCTGCCAGCAGTCAGTCATGCTACCCTCTGCTCCCCTATGCATCTATAGCCACCTTCCTGCCTCACGGCAGTTAGTACTTCTGTGGTGACCTGTCTGCCTCCTGCAGACTGTGGACTTAGAAAAGGGACTGTCTTATTCTTTCCTTCTTTTCTGTACCCAAGCATCTGGCACAGCGCTTGGCATATAGTAGGGGTTCTAGAAACAAAGCAGTAGACATATATTGGCCTCTATGTCCAGTTCTATCCCCCTCTGGAATTCCCGCCACGACTTTCAGTTTCTACTGATTCCCCACCTGCTCTTCATTCATCAGAAAAGAGCACTTCCCATCTTTATTTCCAACCAGCTCCTTTTTGAATTGCCTTTTTTGTGTTTCAGACATCACCAGTTTCTCAACCACAGATTATGGAATCCTCCCCTTTTCTGGCTCACCCCCTTGTCCAAGAAGCCTTCTTTCTGAGCCATCTCAGAGTTGTCTCTACTTCCACCTGTAGTGGGCATAACTCACCTGGCAAGCTTTAGAAATGGCAGGGTCCCCAGCTCTGCCCTGAGGATCCTGATTCCTTGGATCAAGAAACAAATGTGCGTCCCACCCCAGTGCCAGGGAGTTTGCCGTGGTAAATTGAGGAACCACCTGGCAGCCGAAGCAGAGGTGATAGATGGAGGGATAGGGAGAAGTACAGGAAAAGAGGGAAGGGGCTTAAAAGTTATGTTGGGCCACCAAAAACTGCTGCTTAGGATTGCTACAACTGAATGAAATTTAATAAATACTAAGTATTTCATTTATTCTTTGAACAAATACCCAGTACCCACTGTGTGCCAGGCTTGAGTAATCGTCCCAACAATGCCATGAGGCAGGAGTGTAAGCAGCATGCTCCGGTTGCATAGCTCACCCGTGGCAGAGTGGGCCTTGGACCCAGGCAGCCTGAACCCAGCGCTGGGTGCCTGGATGCTCTGCTCTAGTTACGCTAAGGAGGGGGAGCAAGACAGCACCTTGTCCTCCTGCGCTTACCTTCCCAAGGGATTTCCTAATGGGCTATTAGATTCTAGTACATTCTTATTATAGAAATCAGTTGGGTGTTTTCATTTCTTTAAAAAAAATTAAATTCTGGAAGCATTGTCCCTCAGAGGACAAGGAGCCACACCTGCCCTGAATGGATCTCCCTGGCTCATTTTGAGGTGTTTTTTTTAACTTTATGGTATTCATTTTTTTAAACTCTTTAATTCAACCAATGTGGGCTTTGACAGATAGAAACAGGATGGAGTGGGTTGGGAATGAATCTATATGTGGGAAGGGAAAATGTAGTGAGAAGAACTAATTAATAGTTGGAATGTGTTCAGATTCACATTATGTAAGGAAGGACCTATTTTGGGTAGGTGAGTCATCTTTTTTTTTGTAAAGGGACATTAAATAAATAGCTATGGTTGTCCTAATGCTGAATTGGGGGAAGCAGCAATAATATCAATGTGAAATTTCAAAGTAAAATACTAAATAGAATATGCTTACAACTCTGAGCTGGTATAGGTTTATATAAAAGACCTATAAGAATTTAGAGAAATTCAGTCTGTTTTTACACTCCATTCAGTATGTTTTTAAGAATCTTTCTGTAAAGCACTAATGGGCCATTTGTGGCAATGAAGAATGTGGCATACAGAAGCAATGGCACAGTAATTGCACATTCATGTAGCACTTTTGTGGTTCAGAAAGTATTTTTTACAGTTTGAGTTTTCACAAAGAGTTTTAACCTGTTCCCTTCATCACAAAGGAATGAGGCAACTAGATGAAACCAAGACTTCTTGGGAAAGTGGCTGATTCCAGGGCTAGGAAGGGAAAGAACACGAGCCTGGGATAAAAAGTGCCCAGTGATTGATGGGGACCTGTCAGAAGGTCACGGGAGCCTGCTTGGTGGGGCCCCCACTGAGAAAATCGGGCCAGTTGAGCATCAAAATAAATAATAACAGTAAAGGGCTCTGACCTCTTGAACAAGATAAGAACCCATGAATCCTACTAATGTGAATGAATGATAAATACACTGGGGCGCAGGGAGAGCTCCTGTTTATGTTAGAAAGCCAGCTGAAACTGCACGGGGGATGATGAAATTAGAAAAACCACCACTTGCCAACCCTCATAATAACTGGTTCAGACAAGAATCATTAATGCACATCCAAACTAGGGTGTGCACGTCTGTGGAGTCAGAGGGTATTTATGTGGTTTCAGAATATGTCCCGACAAAATACTTTTTCATTTCAAAAAGCAAAATGGCAACTGCAGTGGAGAAACCTGGCAGACGCCAGTGCAACCAGGTGACCAGGGTGAACATTGCTGTGGTGGCACTGGGGGCCAGCAGGTGCCTCCTGACAAGACCGCTGCCGACGGCAGCTCGGCAGGCGTCTGTGACGTGCCTGCCAAACGCACTGCCCCAGCCCGAGCCTGCGGAGGCGTCAACACGCCCAGGGTGGGAAACAAAATAAATGGAGACTAAAGAAACCCGGCAACTGAATGCAACCCATGATCTTGGGTTTTCTTTTGCTATAAAGATGTTGGGACAATGCAGAATATCTCAGTGAGGTCTGTGGATGAGGCGTGGTGTTGTTTCAGTGTTAATTTTCTGACTTAGGTAATTATACTGTGGTTATGTAAGAGTTCCATGTTTTTAGGAACTACACACTCAAGTGTTTATATAGAGGAGGAGGAGACCGGGGGAGGGAAGAGTTCCCCAGAAGGGCTGCTTTGTCACGGGGCCTCAACCTCAGAGTCGCCCCCTCTCAGCCCGGCTTCCGAGGAGAGGTGGGCACTTCCCCAGCAAGTTCTAGAGCTCCTGGGAAGGAATGAGGGCTCTGCCGGGTACCTCCCATGTTTCTCTGTCTGTGCTAAGATGTCACTTCTTTGCTGGGGGCTGTTCCTTGTTTCAAACACCCTTCTTCCTCCCACAACCTGCCTGGAGAAAGATCCAGCTGGGATGTTTGGTGGAAGAGGTGGAGGGGGGCCTGGGCTTCTCTTTCTGGTGCAGCCTCTAACCAGAAAGGGAGGGGCACTCCACAGGGGGACGAGCCACGTGATCCCCCAGCCTCAGTTTCCTCACCTTAGGATGTGAGGCCTGGACTGGATGGTCTTTGCCTGGAAACGTGGCTCCCTGTGACACTTACCAGTGACAGCCTCTGTAAGCCCCTCTAAGGCTCACCCATAGCCTCAGGAAAGAGGCTGATGCCCCAGCCCCTTCCTGGTGTAGGTAACCTTCTGTAGGTCATGTGTTCAGACTTTTAGAATATTGCTTTGATGTCTACTGACACTGTAAAGTTTTCAATAAACCCACAAGTGTACCATTTGGTGGTTCCTCATTCCTTTCCTGCAGTCCGTGAATGGAGCACCTACCATGTCCCAGCCTATGCTAGGCACAGGGGACGAGTCCGGGGTGCCAGGAATCATAGTGCCTGCTAGCAAGCAGCTTGGATGCACAATAAGGCGCCTGATGGGACCGTTTGTATAAAGTCACTTTTCCCTGTAACTAGAAAGTGGTAGGTTAAAGAACAGAAGGCCCAGCTTCACTCCCAGTTGGTTGTATGAACTTGTATTAGCCAGATCACCCTGGGAGCCTCCGTCTCCTCACCTGCTACGTGGGGATAGCAACCTCCCTCTGCTCCTGCCTTGCAGAGCTGTGGCCCTTCAACAGGAGAAGTCTACACAGTGCTTTACAAACACGAGGTAGTCTTGTCAGTAATCCCGCAACATGCATATATTGCAAACGCAAGGCCTTAAACACACAGAGAGAATGACAGTGCTGTCTCTGCCCTCGTATGAGCTTAAAAGAGCATCACAGGGCACAGTAGTAAAGAGCAGGAGACTCAAGCTGTGGCCACAGAGAAAGGCCAGTGCCTTCCATGTGCCAGCACATGGCTCAGAACCTGGTCCTTGGTAACGGAACTGACTGTGGCCTTGTACTCCCAGTGCACCAGGTGGCAGAGCGGGTCGAGGCCCTGGGGCAGTTTGTCATGAAGACCAGAAGGACCCTCAAAGGCCACGGGAACAAAGTTCTCTGCATGGACTGGTGCAAAGATAAGAGGAGGATCGTGAGCTCATCACAGGTACGTCACACCTGTTGTGTGACAGCGTGTTCCTGATCATATAGCCAAGGGCACAAGGGAGCTGTCCTTTTCAAAAACCCTTTCTGATCATTATCACACTGGATTAGCATAGTTAAGAATTCTCTTGCATACTGTAGAACTTTACTAACGTGGGTAGATTTGGAATTGTAATAACTGAAGCATTATACATTATATTTGACAAACCATTCAGAATTATTTCTTCCTGAGCATATTTCAAGGTCTTATTTGTGAGTGAAACCATTTTTAAAATAGTGGGGTTTTGTGTCTTTTTTTTTTTTTTCCACAAATTGAGGGCCTTAGTGGTTGAGATTCCACCATGGTTCTTTCTATTTGTGTTGAGCAATTTTTATGCCTTAAAGAACAAATTTAAGATATATGTTCTGTGAAGTATGATTTCATCATTCATTTTATATAGTTGGCATATTTTTTTTTACATCTTATATATTAGTTATCTACTTCTGCATAAATCACATCAAAATTTAGCAACTTAAGACAACAAATATTTATTATCTTACATGGCTTCTGAGAGTCCGGAATTGGTTCTGGCCCAGGGGCTCATGAGGTTGCAGTGAAGATGCTGGTCGGGGCTGCGTCATCCAGCAGCTAAACTAAAGCGGAAAGTCACCTCCACAATGGCTCACTCATGTGGCTGTGGCTGGAGGCCCTAGTTCCTCACCACGTGGACCTTTCCGGGGGGCTGTTTACGACAAGGCAGCTGGCCTCCCCCAGAGCAAGAGAGGGAGACAGAGGCAGAAGCCACCCTGCCTGTCATGTCCTGAGCTTAGGAGTGACATTCCGTCACTTCTGTATTCCACTGGTGACCCAGGGCAGCCCTGACACAATGAGGAAGGGCCTGTACAGGGGTCCGAACTTCAGGAAGCTGGCTCCTCCTCCTTCTCCGTACTTCTGTGTCTGTTTTGGGGTTACATGCATTGAACATAAAGCTATGAACAGAAGTTATATATTTTTCTGGCCGCTTGGGTTTTCCCCATCACTGCCTTTGGCCTTACTTTTTCAAAGGATGATTTGATCTTCTTTTATAGCCCTTTTAAGTATAAAAACTGTACATGCTCTAAGTAATCTATAAGCTTTAACATCTGAGTTTAATAGGACAGGTGTTATTAATCTCCTGTATTACCTACAATTCTAGTATTACCTACAAAAATTGCATTTTTTAATATTCATAAAAATTAATTTATTGCTTACATATTTTAACATGTTAACGAAACACCAGAAAGAGAACAAAGAAAAAGTTTTTTCTTCCACCACCCTGTACCAACCATTATGTGTGGTTTTAGAGCATTTTTTTTCTAGACTTTTTGTCAAATGCTCATTTTTGCAAAATGATTATCAAACATGTACTAAGTTGCTACCTATTCTTTCTGACTTTTTTATCCTTAAAAGTATGAGCTATGTTGAAATACTCTCATTAGGGAGGGCGGGAAGAGGGCACTCCATGCATTCTCCCCTGCTGCCGAGAGAGTAGAAGTGGGCTGGGGTATAGAGGAAACCAGCAAATAGCAAGAAGGCTCTGGAACAGACTTTGAGTGACTCAGAGCCACCCTTCTCCCTCAAAAGGCGGGAGATCAGTCAGGCCCTGACAGTGTGGGGTAGGGTTTGGGGTGGAGGCCCAGTCTCTGCTGTACCCAGGGTCCTGCACTCATGGAGGGGACCTCATTTAGGGTAATGAGACTGACTTTTGCCTTTTTCTCTCCAGAGCACACAGTGGATGGGCAGTGGGGACAGGCAGGTGGGGCTGTGGTGGGGGAAGTGGACCCTGGCTTGGGCAGTGCACTGAATCAGTTCTTCCCAGCAACTGGGGCCTCTGGGCATGAGGACCCCGAGGCACAGGCCTGCAGCTCCTGCTCTTTCTCTGCTCTGTTACCTCATCTACCCCACACATCATTTGGGCATTTAGCCAGAGAAATTAGACTGAAAGAACCATGTGCTTAGGAATCTGGACAGGCCCCAAGCTGCCGACTTTGACCTTGTTTCAGGGCCCCTCAGCCACATGCAGCATGAATATGGAAATCTTCCATCTGATCATGTCAAGCAAGCAGCTATGTCACTTTAGATCATCAGACCTACCTTGTGCCCTTAAGTGGCATCCCCCCAGCCCCCTGTCACCTTGTTCACCAGATTTGACTCCAAATGGCTTGAGTGATTTAAAAAAATCAAGCCTGCTGTAGAGTCATCAGCCCTGAGATCGCAGGGGACCTGGAGGCTGAAGGCATCTGCTCAGCGGGCCTCTTCTGTCAGCTAGAGCCTGGGGGCCCAGTGACCCCACCCCACATTCTGGGCAGGTGGCTATGCTGTAGGGCCCAGGGCTCAGATGCATTTCTCTCTGGTAGGTTTGTGTTACAAATAGACGACATGGCAGTGAGTCCCACGTCCCTGAGTGGCCTACAGCAGCAGCCACAGAGAAGGCGGCAGCACTGGCTGAGCTCTGCCGCCCAGAGCCTGCCCTGGACAGAGGTGCTCTCTGATTGCTGAACAGCTGCCCACAGGGACCCACTTCCGAACTCTTTCCTTTTTTCTTCCAGGACGGAAAGGTGATCGTGTGGGATTCCTTCACTACCAACAAGGTAAGGCCTTGTCCCAGCCACTGGGACACTTCAGGACCCCAGCCCTGTCCTCATCCCCACCAGACGCCCCCTGCTAGCGGTCACCCTGTCTCTCGGGAGCCTGTCTGCTGCCTGGGGATTGGACCCCGTGGGAGCGCATCGGTGTTCAGACACCTTTGCAGCCCACTGTGGCGCCATTCCTCTCGTGAGCTGAAACCCCAGCCCAGAGGAGAACGTGCAGAGCCACCATAGAGGTGCTAACAGTAAAACAGGGAACAGCGTGGCCTGGAAAACTTCTCACATTCACACACGCAACTGTACTTACTGTTTTACCAAATGATGACAAGAGGTACCCACATGCCTGGCTTTCTCTCCCCTCTCTGCTTTGACCAGGCTCCACAGCTCTGTGGACATGAGCAAATGGTAGCTGGGGAAGCTGAGCCTGCAGGGGGTTTGAACTGACTATCCTGTGACATCCTTGTACGTCTGGCCAACTCCAAATTAGACTTAAATTTTTTCTCTTAACTAAGGAAAAAGGCCCATATGTATAGATTGCATGCCTGCATCATGTTGGCATTTACATTAACAAGTATTTTATATTAAATTCAATTCTGAAATTTACTTAGAAAGACTTCCTTTTCACTACATAGAAAAGGAGACTTATATCTGTCTCAAACTGAGCAGTGTCCATATTCTGCGTTATTGAATGTGTTCACTAAATGCCGTGGTAAGCGGCTGTTAACTGATGTGATCAAGGCAGACCCCAGACCCGTCTTTCAGAGCAGAGTCCCTAATGGTTAGGTCCCAGGGGAATAATAAAAATGACTTCTTAGCAGTTTGCAAAGGGCTCTCCTCTACGTGACCTCCTTCCCTGCAGCCTCCGCACCTCCAGCACCCTTCAGCATCTTCAGGTGTGTGAGGGGTTTTGTTGCTTTTGTTTGTGCCTTAGCGTGTCACAGAGCACACACTGCCTGATATCTGAGGGGTTGTTCTGCCGTGTGTGGCCCCTGGCAGGGAGTGTACCCATGACTTGTAAGGAAAGGGGTGTAGGATGCCTTGTGCTGGAAGTGCCCACCTCAGCTCAGTACAGTAGATTATTCTTGGTCTCGGAAAGGCTGCTGAGCTGTGAGTGACAATGGCATTCTGACAGGCAGTATCAGGGCCTGCACTTCCCCGCAGAAACGCAGGGAAGAAGACCAGCCCTTGAAAGGACTTCAACAGTCATGTGGTCCCAGCTTCTGTCTGCACAGATGGAGAATGAGACTGAGGTAGGCCCAGTGGCTGCCCTGCACGGGGTTGCACAGCTTGCTTGTGTAAGAACCAGGAGCAGGGAAATACTACCACAGACTCAAAAGTTTGTGGACTGTGGCTCTGTTGTTTGCTTCTCAGCCTGCAAGAGAAGGGAGGTGACACGACCACCGGCCAGCAGCCAGGGACTGTTACACCTGGTTCTTACTGCTTCTCTTTTATCCCTGAGCGCAACTCAGGATCACCCCCTCCCCCCGCCCCCATCCAGACCTTCCAGGAATGGTTTTGGGACCCACAGAGGACAACGGCTCTTGTATACTCACACTTACACATGTAAAAAGTCATGTATATTGTTTTAAAGAAAACAAATGCCAGTATTCATTCAGAAGACTGAGGGGATTGTAACATTAAGAGAGAAGTAAAACATTATGGATATTTGTTACTGATGGAGATTTTTAACTTTTAGTATAGGTGACAAAATTTGGTTAATAATAGGGGAGCTGAGTCTCTCGTCAGTTCAAGCCTATCTTTACTCCATGCCACTGCCCTTTGAAACAATAATTTAATAGGAACTCCAGTGATTTTATTTTGAAAAACGAAATGTGAAGACATTTGTGTAGAAGCGCCCCTCGTTCATTCTGTGAACAGTGCGTCCTGTGTTTCAGGAGCACGCGGTCACGATGCCCTGCACGTGGGTGATGGCATGTGCATATGCCCCGTCAGGATGTGCCATTGCGTGTGGGTGAGTAGGGGCTGCAGCAGCTCTTCAGATTTCTTGTTAGCCATAAAATACTGTTTGTGGGCGAAACAAGTAAATAAGAACTTGTAATTTTTTGTTTACTGGTTAAGCAATGTCTCAAATTCCTCCCTGAACTTCATCAAAAGAGAAACCACAAAAATCTCTTTCATAATTATTTTCATTACAGACTGTCAGTGGTGTGAGTCTCAAATCTGTAATCTTCACTCACAAATGCTGTTGGCCCCACTTGCATGAACTGGTGCAAACAATTTGGAAAGCTTGTTGGTAATAACATATCAGAAGCCTTCAAAAATGTATAACCTTTGATCTAATGATTCCATATCTGAGAACTTGTTTAAGGGAATGATCCAAAATACAGAAAAGCCATATGAACAGTAATAATTGTTGTAGCATTATTTAAAATAAAGCAAAAAAATGGTGGGGGGACTATATGCCTATCAAAGGAAATCATTAAGTGAATTGAGTAGAATATTATACAGATGTTAAAAAAGGGAAATGCAAAATTAGATTAAGTGAAAAGAACATCCAAGTTTCTAGAAAGATTGTGCTCTATTCTCTACTTTCCTGGAGTTCAGTTTAACAGTTGGCAGTGAAAACTGGAGCCAACATAAGATTCCATGTCCTTACGTTAAGCAACTGTGAGACCATTCAAAATATTTCTACAGTAAGATCCCAGCCATGTTTAGAAAAAAGGCATTAAAAAGGCTGTGATGAACTATATCAAAATTGCAATAGTAGTTCTTTCTGGATGATGGGACCATGGCGGGTGGTGGGGGGGGCAGTTTCTCATCTTTATAATTTCCTGTTTTCAATTTTTGAAAAATAAGCATATATTTTTACAATCAGAAGAGAGTTTTATTTCAAAAATGAAAATCCGAGGACTCCAAGCAAAAACTCTGGAGTCTTCTCCAGCCAGAGTCATAGCAGCCGTGGTTCCCAAAGTCCCTCCCATTGGGTTGCTGTTGTGGGGGTATCTTTCCACTCTGTCCACTTGTAGAGACCCTGTGTGCCTTTGGTACCCATGGTCATACATCTGCATTTCATACTTTCTAATTTTTTTAATAACTCATAAGTAGATTGTGTCCATTTTATCACTGAATGGTGATATTTATGTAAAATTCCTTCTCATTTACTTCCTGAAAAGATCTGAGGTGACCACAGTAAGAAACACAGATCTATTCCTATATATCTGTATAACATTTATTATATATATATATGTATGTGTGTGTGTATATACACACACACACACATTATAAGGTAAGCACACAGGAGTTCAGCCAGCTGTACAGTTAGAAGGCATTGTCCGCACAAGATTTCCCTCACCTCAGATATCAGCCACAAATTTGGGGACCCCCACAACCACGCCCAGGTCCACAATTTCCTTGAATGACTCACAGAACTCAGAAAGTGCTGTACTTAGGCTCCCAGTTTTATCAGTGAAAGGATACAAATTGGACCCAGCCGAAGGAAGAGGCCCGCAGAGCAGGGTCCAGGAGCAGTCCAGACCGGGAGCTTCCAGTTGTCCCCTCCCTGTAGGGTTGTGGTTGGCATTATGCTTCCTGGCCACAGTGTGTGACTGTACATGCCGAGTATTTCCAACCAGGGGAACTTGCCTGAGCCTTTGGTGTCCAGAGTTTTTTACTGGGGCTCAATCACATTCTGCCCACATGGCTGACCTTCACTCTCCAGTCTCTCCTGGAGGTTTGGGCTGATGCTTGTAGTATCCACTTCCTCCAGAGCTCAGGACTCACAGGGTGTGTCTGGAAGCCCCCATTATAAATCGCACTGTTAGACTGGTGGCCAAAGCCCCCGGCAAACAAAGATACCCCATTCAGCAGGACATTCCAGGGGCTCAGTGACCCACTCCTAGGAGCCAAGGGCAAAGGTCAGACCTCTCATTAGGTAAGGTCAGTTCTTCACTACTCATTAGGAATAATAAACATTCTACATTTGTAAAAATTCTAGGGTAATATATTTCAAATTGGGCATGAATATTTAGTGTATGCATAGAGTTGGGTAAGTTACATAATTTCTCAATATTTGATATTGAGATACCAGTTATCTGGTTCTAAATCACAAAAGAATATATCGGGTAGGTCCTTCTGTAATATACAGTGAACATGTTACCACAGGGAACAATGTCCTCAACAGTCATTTAGAAAACGGTTTTGTAGACTGTTTTTTATTTTAACCTCCCTGAGTGTAAATCCAGTGGAAAAGTTTCCCTGCGGGGGCAGGCAAGGAAAAGAGCATTTTCACAAGGCCCGTGCGACGCTTCTGGTAACACCCGGTGTGAGTCCAGGGTAGAGGGGTGGCTGGCGCCTTCCTCTTGGTGCCATCTGTTCCCTGGGCTCCGGCACATGGCATATGGTCAATACCCCTTATCCTCAGAGGCTGTCATGAAAACCAGAACAGAGGAAGTTCAGGGTGTGAACATTTGTGAAAGTATTTTTGTAGAATAGGGGATCCAGTGAATGAGGAGAGCACCACAAAGTAAACTGAGGAAGCCTGAATCCCCATCTTAGGTCAAAGCACCTTCTCCCCTACTCAGACCTCTCCCTGGAACTGCTGAGAGCAACTGGGATTAATTTGAGTTTCTAGTGGTGCTCTAACAAGGTGTTTCTCCATCCTGGCTTTGTGACACGCCTGAACTCCACTACCACACAGACCAACACCTATGCCGCCCTCGCAACGTCTACAGGCAATAACGGGGCTATTTTTCTCTCTCTGCCTGACTGCTAGTCTATCTCAGTGGGTTCCAAACCTGAAAGCGAAAACTCCAACAGTTATTAACACAATCTCCTTCTTAAGAAAAAAGTGTTAATTGCTTTTATATATTTGTAAGTGTTTTTTAGTTGAGAGCCGTATCCTTAAAGTATTACAAACTTGCTCTGAGCAGCTATGTGCAAGGCACTGGACTGCATGTCCTCGGGGAACTCAAAGATGAGAAAACATAGCACCTGCTTCCAAGCAAGAAGAATATAGAACTAAAAATAACGACGACTTACTGAGCCCATATCACGGGTCAAGGGCCATTCTGAACTCTTTATGTAATCTTAACAACAGCTCCCTGTGGTAGGTGAGTGGGATCCACTCTATTCTATAGTTGAGGAAACTGAGGCTCAGAGAACCTAAAAAAAACATAACCAACATCATAACGTGAGCTAAATACTAAAGCACAAATTCGACAGCAGATGCATCACACTGTAAAACTCTGCTTTCAGTGCAATGCAAATAACCCTAGGACTGAGTATTGCAACAGAGCTACAGAAATTACTCTGAAGCTTCAGCATGAGAGACCACATCCCACCATGAGGGTTGGGGAAGCCCACAGTCCACAACACGCTTGTCATTGCCACGGCCTAACTGCAGGTCCTGCTCGCCGCGCAATGTGTGAACGAGCTTACCAAGGCTAATTACTGGCAAGGGACTTCCTAAGTCCTGCACCTGCACCTGCAAGCAGTCAGAAGGGCAAGGGGTCCCCTCGCTTCCCCAGGGCTGCAGGAGAGGCCATCCCTCCTAAATGCCATTCCTCCCCAAAAGGAAACAGGGCCCATGAGGAAGGCTGATTGCAGATCTGGGGCAGGAGAACAGTAAAGTGAGCCTTGGATATTTTCTTGTTCTAGAAAGGAAGGAAATGTTCAAGGACCAGTGGAGTCATATCAAACAGAAACAGCAGCTGCTTGAAGGGGCCCCCACTGTCCAAATTTGGGACAATTTGAGCATCCATGGACTAATGATAATAATGGATCATAAGACAACTTAAGAGAAGAAAGAACCCATGGGCGTACAGTTATACTGGGGGAAGGGATATTTGGCTTTACAGAAAAATATCAGCTAATAAATGCAGATGGGCTATCAAATTAGAAGGTTAGCATTTTGCACCCCTAAAGTAATTGGTTCAAACAAGGGTGATTATGCTGAAGCCGTCGCATGGAAGGTTGTTGGGGAACAGGACATCTGCAGGTCTCAAAGTGTCACACCACAAATTGCTAATTACAAACGAATCACCTTCACCGCAGAGACATCTGGTGGTTCCCACTTCAACCACACAATCAGCTTGGCATCACCAATCTTGAGACAACAGACATCACAAGCCTCCTAAAGTGAAGCAGTAAGAAGTACACAATATCACCTTTATACTGCTATTGCCAAAAACATGATACTTGAGTAACCATTAGGAAACAGTGTGACAAACCCAGAGTGTGTGACATACTGTAAGACAAGTGACGTGAGATGTGTTGTCACAAACAATAAAAAAATAGGTGGAAGGTCTGTTGTAAATTAAAAGATCTTAAAAATCCATAAAAACCAAATGTAATGTGTGAACCTTGATTAGGCACAGGGGATGTCCCCATTGGGGAAGATTGACTATGGATGCCTTATGACATAGTGTTATGGAATTCATGTGAGTTTTCTCAGATGCGGTGATGATTCAGCTTTGTAGGAGAAATGTTCTTACTTTTATGAGATGTAAATTTGCAAATTGTTTTTAGATGTAAATTTGCAAATTGAAGTATTTAGATATAGCATGTCCTGTCTGGTTTGCGTTCAAATGGTTTAGAACTTGCTCCCATAAATATGGCAAAATGTTAGCTTGGTGATCTGGTGTCCATTGTACTATTTTTCTTTGCAATTTACTGCACATTCAGAAACCTCCCAAGTAAAAATTAGGGGAAAGTTTATATGATGCTGCCAAAGGGAAACATTCTGAAAGGTTTGTGTGAATGGGAAAGTGTACTCTTATTCTGTTGCCCTATATTAACATTTGACATGCCTTTCTTCCTTGCCAGTGGTCTGGATAATAAGTGTTCTGTGTATCCACTGACGTTTGACAAAAATGAAAACATGGCTGCCAAAAAGAAGTCTGTTGCTATGCATACCAACTACCTGTCGGCCTGCAGCTTCACGAACTCTGACATGCAGGTAAATAAGCAGCCGCCTGGGGGACCCCCCCCCCGCTGGAGAGCAGGTTATGTGGCAGAGAACTGAGGGGAATATAGCAGGGGAGGAAGCTTTTCCAGTGTCCCACTCGGTAGGATGGCTGTGCTCCAGCAGCTGGCTCTAAGGGAAAGCTCCTGTTGTTTCTCACTGGCTATTACTATTATTATAATTATTATTACTAATAAAATCAGAAGTGAGAAAAATCAGGGCTATTGTTGTTGACAGAGTTGAGATGAACTACACACCACATCAAACTCCTCCTCTGATTGACTTGGTGGGAGTGGAACAGGCAGCCTTCTGGGGTGGTGGTTTCAAGGTGCTTCTGTGTGTAAAGCTTTGCTCTGAGCTTCTGAGCTTCAGAGTTGTGCACTTTACATGTCTCACTGTACCTACTTCACACTCCTTTTTGAACAAATGCAAAAAGAAAAAGCTTCCGGTAGTGATCTACATTGAATAAACCACAAAGTGGAAACAACACAACTTCAACATATTGGCTAAGTTTTAACAAGTCTTAAATCATCCATAGTTTATTTATTCACATCTGTACAGCAAACCTTTGTAGATACTCACCACCCACATTGCCAGATACCACCGCGTTCCACAGCTGGACTCGCACTCAGCCACTGCCCTCACTGAAACCTATCATAACTGAACAGTGAGGGAGTCTGAGAGCTCGGAGCAGAAGGGGTGGCCACAAGCTGGCTGCAAGCAGCTGCCTGAGCCGGCCTTGGAGGGTGGGAGTGCTGGGAGTACAGTGGAAGGTGGGCAGGGCCAGATCACAGGGCCCCTGAGTGTCTAGGCTGACTCTGTGGACAGGCAGGAGCCACTACAGGGGCTGGATCAGACTGGGGTTTGTTTTAAGGAGGAGAGCATTTAATTCAGATGAAGGCCTTCCATGACCTGCTCTGGTTTCAGCTGACTGATGCTGAAGGGCAGGCAAGCGTGGCCGGCAGCACGGAGACCAGGAGACTGGATATTTGTCGACTGCTGACCAGAGGAAGGGTGTTTGGACGAGGAGTGCATGTCTGCAGCTGTTTGCAACCAGTAGTCTTGCATACATGTACAGTAGGGGGCGCTGTGGCCCCAGGTGGCTGCAGTGGCCAGAATCAGATGTCTATGTGCCTGAGGAGCGGCCAAAGCTACAGGAGATGTTTAGTCCAAATGAGGAAAGGCTCAGAAGTTTGCAAGAACCAGTGAGTCGTCAATCTGCAGTCCCTCTCATAGAGACCTGTCACCCTTCCTTGCTGTTACCATAGATGCTGGGGTGGGAATGAAAGGGGCACCTGTACTGTGGAGAATGCTTTCTTCCTAGCAGGAATCTAGCTGAGTCAGCTTGCATCACATCCTGGCTCCACTGTGTTCCAGCTGGTCAGTCCCAAACAAGATTTTATTCTCCGTTTTGTCTTTCTCATGTGCACGTGAGGATAGTAATAAATTCCTCCCTCATAACGTTTTCTGAAGATTAAATGAGGTGATTTGTGTAAAATACACAAAGCTCCTGGCAAATATCAATAAATGTTAGCTCTTATTATTTTTTTATCATTAACACAAAAGCTTCTTGGATGATTCAAAGGCATGGCCTGGCTTGGGTACCTCTGAACTAATGAACCTCAAGCTTTCTTCCATTCTGGGATCTAGGATGAAAAAAGAAAAGCTCAAGTGGCTGCTGTAAGACTATGGTATAAAACCTGCAAATTTTCTACATTCCAGAATAAATGGCAGTGAGTTACTTAGAGGTCCTATTCAGTGCACTTATTGTAATGTCTGTTTTTTTTTTAATTTATTTTTACATACACTGGAAAGAAGATCACAAAAAATATAAAAAATATTTTAAAATAGTTTTAAGTATCAAGAATTTATTGTAACTGTTAAAAACTATTCATTTCTTTGATTGAAGAATATGATGTGGGAAATTCCAAATTAAATAGCTAGACTGAGGTAGTTTAAAGCAGATTGTTTGGACCTGATGTCCCCCAAAAGATCAGAGATTATTGGTCCTTTGCAAGTGTTAGGGCAGGAATGGGGTGGAACATCCACTAGTGGGTGTGGGCCGGGAAAGATTGGAGGGAATTACAGCATATTATAAAATACAAGTACCCAGATTAAGACACAGTCCAAGTCTGTGTGTTTATAAACTATTATTACCAGCCTAGGTCATCTTGTCAGATGCACACAGGCCTCTCCAGGGAAGTCAAGCCTGGAGGGAGTCCCATGCAGAGATTCTGCAGCCTTGGAGATTCCCCCAGTTTGAGAGCTGTCCCCAGTAGGGGCTTTAAGGAGGGTCCTGGGGGCCACACCTAAGAAGCCTGAGAGCTACTCAGCTCATCCACCTCCTGCTCCAGGGAGGGGCTCCAGGGCAGCCTCACCGGGCTGCAGGGAGATCCTAGGCCTCCCCAAGCTGCCTGGCAGGAAACCCACTCCAAGGTGGTACAGCCAGCAGGCACAAGGCCAGGGTGGGAATAGGTTCCCCTCCTAAGAATGTGCTCCTTCTCTGCAGTAAAAGGGAGATTCTTTATCAGGGTTAGGCCTAGCATGCAAAAGAGAAGGGAAGAGAATAGGAAAGAAGGAGAGGAAATTGGAAATTGGAGGTGCAGCACAGCCTGGTCAGTGGGGGCGTTGAAGGCTAGCAGTCCTTAGGGCCTGGCTTCCGCTGTCTTCCTCAGCCGGTATCTCCACCCACTGAGGGCTCTCTGTTGTGCCACTTCCTGCATTGTCTTATCACTTCACCAGGCTGTCTGAGCAGCAGGAAGGTGGGGTGCAGGGAGGCTCTGCTGTCCAATGCTTAACCTTTGTGGATCCCTCGCATGGCTGCTCAGGGCCAAGCCGGTCCCAGAGCTCCGTCATGCAGTCAGCTGGGTCCCTGACCCCTGAGTCTCCTCTGGCTTTCTTCCAACCCCGCGAAGGTATGGCCAGCCAGAGCCCAGGCCTCACACACAGGCAGTGACAAAAATTAAAGCTCCTGTTCACCTGCCGTGCCTCTCTAAGCACCCCATTGTTCCTCTCCCCACGTGGGCAGCCTTTGTTCTTTTAAGCTGCACAGAGGCTTCTCAAGGGGTTGCACTGACCTCAAGACAGAATTTTCTAAAATATACCCCTGATCTTCTCATCCTGCTCAGGCTTTCCACAGCTCCCTCTTGCCCACAGCCCAAAGTCCTCACAGTCTACCAGGCACACACAGGCAGGCCTTCACCTGCAGGGCCCCCCCGCCTGCCCTTCACCTGGCCAGCTCTCACTCAGTCTTGAAGAGCAGCTCAGATGTTGCCAGAATGGGTTTGGTGCCCTTCCCGTGGGCCTGCCTGTATCTCAGCTCTGTGATCATCGTCTTGTCTGCCAAGACTCTCAGAAGAACTTGGCAATCCAGCATTGCTAAGTTTATTAGGTCTAAGTTTATTACTGCAGCAAGGGAGAACTCCAGCCTGACAGAATTTCCACAGCATCTCACAATGAAGAAATCAGGGAGGGGTACTTGGAAGGTTCCAGGATCTGGGCTGCGTGATTTCAAGGTGGGTCTTTGAGGTGGGATACTGGTTATGACATTGGCTTTGAATTGATGAGCTGAGGGAGGTGAGGGTCTTGAAGCAAGTCTTGATGAGCAAGTTACGAGTCTGGAGAAGTAAGTTGATTCACTGTTTTATAGTCTTTTATGGCAAGAGCACTTACTTCCTAGAGCAAGCAGCTGGGTTGCTTTTACTTGGTCTCAGTATCATCCGACATAGCACCAGGAAACTATGCTCAGTCCCAGAAAATCGTTTAACACAGGAACAGGGAATTAGGTTGGTTTCAGTCCACACTGCCAATCCTTTTAAACTGAGCTCCAGGAAAACAGAGACCAAGACAATCTTTCTGCAAACTGTAATGCCGAGCGGAGCGCCGGATGGCATCGGCACACAGCAAATGCTCATTGATCTGTGAGTGCATGAGTGTCCACACCTCTCAGCGGTCCTGGGAGCCTCTGGGCAGCACCCAGCTCTGGGAAGAAGCGGTGACAGGACAGTGTGTCGAACAAAATGCTGCCTCACCCAGTGGGATCCAGGGAGCAGCACTGGCATCACCGGAGTTGGTGAGAATTCTAGAATCTCAGACTCTCCCCAGACTCTCTCTGAGCCAGCAGCCAGATGACGGGGTGCACGTTACTTTCTGAGAAGCACCTCAGTTGTCTGGCCTGCACAGCAGTGGGTTTGGCTGCCTGTGGGAGCTGCTCAAGGTTCAACAAATGTTCTCAGAGCAGTTGCGCTGTGCCAGGGCAGGTGAGGGGCCTGCAGGTGTGTCAGGGAGGCCGCAGGGGTTTGTACTTCAGGAGGACAGGCACATAAACACACAGCTCGAGGACAGTGGGGGTGTCAAGAATGAACTTTCTCAGTGCAGGAAAAATGTCTCTGTGCTTGAATCAGATACAGCAAGGTGTGTGTCCGCGTGTGTGTGTGAGCCGCCTCCCTTTCCCTGTGGGTCTCTAAGCATGGACGGCAAAGTAATGATGAAAGCCATGGTGTGGGACATGCGCTCAGGCCAGTGCCAGCAGGCTTTCGAAACACACGAATCTGACATCAACAGTGTCCGGTCAGTGAGTAGAATGTTCATGTTACTTCTCTGCTCTGCTGCTGTCCCCTGGCCTGGCGTAGTGGTTGGCCCAGGAACCACCTCCAGGCTGTTTACTTGGCTGAGAGAGGCCTCCCCAGCAAGGAGGGCTGATTCGTGGTGGAACTGAATAGAGCTCTAGAGCTCTTGAAGATTTTTAACCTAATTGTACCAGGAACAATATTGTCTTCCTTAAGTCAGTATATTTCTCATTCATTCAGAACACCCTTCCTGTCCTTTCTGTGAGCAGATCCTGACGGCAAGCGGTGATGGGACATGTGCCCTGTGGGACGTGGAGAGCGGGCAGCTGCTGCAAAGCTTCCACGGGCATGGAGCTGACGTGCTCTGCTTGGACCTGGCCCCCTCAGAAACAGGAAACACCTTCGTGTCTGGGGTAAAGACCTAAGGAAAACCTCTAGGGGAGCTTTGCGTCCATGGGAGGCTTATGGCAGCAGTTCCTGCCATTTCTTGGGACTAGGCTGGACGCTTCCCTAGAAGGAGCTGCAGGAATTGTCCTCAGCTCACCACCGCCCCCCTATCTCCTGCAGCATTTAGCAGCACTTGGTGGGCTGTCACAGTGCTGGGCTGTGAGGGTCTCCAGATCTGCTGCTGACATCCTACATAGGGATCTAGAATGCTTTTCCAGTGTGAATGCTGTGACTCATGGTGCTAGTTTGCCATGTTTTTAAATGTCATTCCTCAAATAAACAGCAGAGTCAGCCCTGGAGAGCATTAGAAATGAGCCACAAGGGCAGTGACCCAGTCAGATGACTGCCGAGGTGGGGCAGCGGCCGTGCGGTCAGGGCCTGTGGCTTGTGGGATGCTCTCCAACCCACCTCACTAGTCGCCGTCCCCCCCCACCCCAGGGTACAGGAAATGGGGTATGGAAGGCTCTGAGTCAGGCAGACAAGGTGGCACAGAGAAGCACTAGCCCAGGAGTCAGGACACCTGGGTCTGGCTTTGCTACCTGACTAAATTTCCTCATCTGTAAATTGGACATAATGCAACTCAGATGCGAATTTTAAGCCATTACTTCTTCTGTGTGACTCCTGGGAGTCTACATTATGCTACCTAAGCCTGATAACAGGACTGCCCTGCAGGGATTCATCAGAGAGCTCCTGGAACCACAATAGTGTAGTGTAGAAACTTCATGTTTATGGTTCTCTGGGTTGCATGGGGCAGCACAATGACGTGTTCACAGGGGTTGAGGCAGAAGCCCTGGGAGGTGACACGAGACACCCAGCTGACTGCTGGCAGGGCCATGATTTGGCCCCTAGTTTGCCGACCCCAACCTGGCCTAGGACTGGGGGTGCAGATGGTCTGGGGGCAGTGGTGCTCCCCCTTTGCAGGGCTGCTCCATACACTTGAGACAAAGTGGGGAAGTCCCTCTGTGTACCCACTGTTTACCTCCCCTCTGGGCTTAGGGAGGCAGAGGTTGGCGGGGGGCTGAGGGGCTCGCGGTTGGAAAGAACAAAATGAAGAGAAGAGAAATGCTCAGGATGGAGGTGAGAACGAGGCTCTGGAGGCTGGAAGGTTTACACCCACTCAGAAAGGTGAGAAAGAAGAAAACATGCTAAAAGTGGTGCTGGGGGCCTTCTGCTCCCCTTCCCACCCCAAGACCTAGTTCCAGCCTTACAAGTGCATCCCAGTAGAGGCCAGTGGCCTTAGGTGAAGCTAAGAAGAGCATGTTGTCAGCCATTTACCAATGGGAAATAAGTGGTCTCTGTTCCATGATTGGAACTCATGCCTGCCTGTAGACAGTCCGTGCAGTGGCCATAACTCTGGGTAACTTTGCATTTGTAGGGTTGTGACAAGAAAGCCATGGTGTGGGACATGCGCTCGGGCCAGTGCGTGCAGGCTTTTGAAACACACGAATCTGACATCAACAGTGTCCGGTCAGTGAGTAGAATGTTCATGTTACTTCTCTGCTCTGCTGCTGTCCCCTGGCCTGGCGTAGTGGTTGGCCCAGGAACCACCTCCAGGCTGTTTACTTGGCTGAGAGAGGCCTCCCCAGCAAGGAGGGCTGATTCGTGGTGGAACTGAACAGAGCTCTAGAGCTCTTGAAGATTTTTAATTTAATTGCACCAGGAACAATATTATCTTCCTTAAGTCAGTATATTTCTCATTCATTCAGTTACTCAGCAAATATCTATTGAGACTTACATGCTAGACATTATTTCAGGAACTGGGAATACAGTTGTGATCCACATAGACAAGGTCTCCACTCTCCTGCAGGAGACAAAACCAAGCACAAATAAACCAATGTACAATTTAATTTAAGATGCTGAAAAGTGCTGTGAAAGAAGTAAAACATGCTGGTGGGATGGCATGTGTTATTACTTAGAAGGCCTCTCTAAGAAAGGGATGTTTAAACTGAGGCCAGGATGATGAAAGAGCCGGGCTTGCAGAGAGCTGGGGGAAGCTGAGATACGGTAACCTAACCCAGGCCAGGTGACTGCTGGGGAGTTTTGAACTGGGAGGTTGGGGGTCACGTGGCTAACTGGATCTATGTTTTGCCTTTAAAAGATCACTCGGGCTTCTGTATGGAGAATAGATTTCAGGAAATCAAAAATGGAAGATGATGGCCAGTTAGAAAGCTGTGTGAGTTCAAGAAGGAAATGTTGGTGGCTAGAATTAAAGAAGACATTGTGGAGACAGAACTGTCTGGGATTGTGAAGGGTCTGAGATTTTACCTTAGCTGCCAGCTGACAAATTAGGCTGCCACAGTTTCCAGGATGCTGGCAGAAGACACAAGACGCTTGGGCCAAAGGGGAAGGACAGTTATACCCATAGCAAAGGCCATACCCAGCATACCAGCTATTTGTGTGGGTTGCCTGAGCCCCACTCCACAGGGTGACGTGAGGAGAGCCAGATGACACCGTCACATGTGAGGGGTCACATTAGAAGAACCCCTGAGCTGAGGAAGCCCAAACCTTTATAAGGGGCAGTAAGCGGGGACCCACTTACTAGGAGAGGGAAGACTGGATGAAGTACAGGTAGGAGGTATTGGTTGCACATGGATTCTTGAGCCCTGTTTTGAGATAGTTAAGTTTGCGATGCCTGTTACACAACCAAATGGAGGCATTGAGTTGTTAGCAGGATCTGTGAACCAGATCCCAAGAGAGAAGTGGTGTGTGAATTTGGAAGCCAGCACAGACAATACTTACGGTACACCCAAGAATCTTCATTATACTTGTTCCCCTTAAAAGCAAGAATGAAGTAAGAATGCTTATTTACTTCAGTAATAGAAGTGTTAGTAAGAATTCTCTAGCTCCCTGCCCTCAAACGTATAAGAGGGGAAAAGGAAAAAGACTGTCACTTTTTGCAAATGTGTGGTAATTACCTAGAAAATCAAAGGAAATCAATCCAGATATTAATACAGATAGTAAATGAAGTTAGTGAGAGGCAGGATAGAATATAAGACCACAAAACTAAATGAGATCTGCCCTGAATCCTCTTCCTCCGATGTACATCAGGCCTCAGTTTAGGCTTCCCTCTCTCTAGGAAGCCTTATCATTGAGAAGAGAATGGCTATCATAATAAGCATCATCATTTATTACTGAATGCTTTTTATTTGGCACCGTGCCAAAGTCTTTGCACATACCGTCTTGCTCAGTCACCACAGCAGGGAATGTGCATTCTCATCCTCACTGCTGGATGAGGACACTGAGTCTGGGCAGGCTGGAGTCACTTGCCATAGGTGTCCCATGTAGTAGGTGGTCAAGCAGAGATGGGCACAAGGCTCTGTAGATCGGATTCCAGGGTCTGTGTGTAAACCACTTTCTTATCCCTGAGCTCTGAGCCAATTCTTGGGAATGAAGTGTATGATCAACAGAAACTATGGTTGGGGGGGTGCCTGCTCTGTGTGGTACCTGGTGCAGATACTCATATTATCTCGGTTACTCCTCACCAACACTCTGCAAGGTCGGTGTCTCTGTTGCCTATTTACAGGGAGGGAAACTAGAGGTCAGTGGGCCAGCCAGATGAGCCTCCCTTTCCAGCTTCCACAACAGGTGGTCCTGTGTCTCTGGACATAGAGATTCTGATTCTGAGGGCCAACCTGGGCCAACCTTCCCAGCTGGTTCTGACGGGCATGAGGGACTGGGAATCACCACTCTATGAAAGCTTTCCACCCAAACTTTGTCTCTGCAGATACTACCCGAGTGGAGATGCCTTTGCTTCAGGCTCAGATGATGCTACGGTATGTTTCTAAGTTATTGGAAGCCTTTTCTATTTGAAAGAGAGGCGTACTGACTTAATTTTATTTTTCAAAAATTAATTTTTTTCCTGATGGCAGAAGCAATGTGCATTTATTAAAGAAACCTGGAGAGGAGGGGAATTAGATTACCCTGCTTTTCCTACCCAAGAAAAGTGACAATTGAATGAATCCCTTGTTGTCTCTTTTCTTTTTAAAGAAAATGTCTTATAATTTGCTTTTTTCACTCAACAACAGATTCTGAACATTTTCCCATGCCAATAAATATTTTTTTATATTATGTTTTCTTAATGATTGAATAGTATTCCATGTTATAGACATGCCATCATTTATTGCACATACTCAATTTTTGGACATTTAGATTTTTCAAGGTTTTGTTTTTCTGTTAAAAACACTCTTATAAGTAAATATTTTTTGGTAGTTATTATTTCCTTATGATTCTCAGATATGAACCTGTTCCGTCAAAAATAGGCTTTTGCTACTAATTGCCAAGTTATATTGACCTAGTTTTCAAGAGAAATTCCTTCTTGTGCCCTCAGAATATCAAGTATCTTATTAAATAATGGGTTTCATCCTAATATGCAACTATAGAAAGAACTACTAAGGAGTACACTGAGAATTTTGATAATGAAAATTTAAACATCTGTATATCAAAAATATATATAACAAAATATAAAGGCATACATTTTGGAAAAATTCTTGCCATGTATATGACAGACCAAGTTGAAATCCTTCAGATATAAATGAGGTTACATAGTCACTAAGTTACACACCCCCAATAAAAAAAAAAAAAAAAGGATAAAATGCAGGCTGTTTACAAGGCAATAAGTCCAGAATGGCAAATAAATGTCAAAATGTTTTCAAAGTCACCTGTATTCCAAGAAATGCAAGTTTAAGTGATTGGATGCTCATTTGCCTCTTGGGTTGGCAGAAAAACGCCTGGTGTAGAGATGGTCCAATAAAGGAGCCTTCCATGAGCTGGGGTCAGGACCACCAGCGCCGGCCTTCTGGAGGGCAGTCCTGAGATCTGAATCAAGAGCTCTCAAAACATCCCCACCCTTCGATCTGGTCATGCTATTTCTTAGAACAGTTCTCTTCTAAGGATTCTGTTCTTTTGCTATTCTAAGGAAAATATCAGAGATATGTATAAAGATTTTTATGTAAGAATAGTCATCGTTTATTATTTATATAAGAAAAATTAGATACAATCAAAACACCAGGGAATGGCTAAGTAGATTCTGATAAATCCACATGAGAAATATTCAACATCCATGTTAGTCATGGTTTTTGAAGATGATCTAATGATAAGAGAAAATGCTCATTAACATAGTGCTAATAGAATAATGAAACATCCACTCCATTTAAGTACACACATAAAATAGAAACAAGACTGAAGGAAATAGCCCAGATGTTAGTTAATACTTCTAGGACTTGGGGTGAGTTTTGTTTCCTTCTTTATGCTTTTCTGAGTTTTCCTGAGTTTTCTACAATAAACATGTATCCTTTATGAGAAAAAAAGAAGGGACTCATTTTTTGTTTTGATACCCAAAGAAGTCTTCTGCATTTGCTGTTTCCTTAAATCTCCACTGATCCATGAAGAGGAGTCAGGATTGAGGGAGAAAATACTAGGAGAAATAAACTAACGAGCTGTTTCCCTTACCGCTCAAACCAGAAAAGCCATCAACACCTGCCTACAGCTGTGTGGTCATCACTTCACCAAACCAGAGCCAGAAATAAGTACCTCTTTGTCCTTTTGTCACCCCAGTGTCGCCTCTACGACCTCCGGGCAGACAGGGAGGTTGCCATCTATTCCAAAGACAGTATCATATTTGGAGCATCCAGCGTGGACTTCTCCCTCAGTGGTAAGAATTTTTTTCAGAAACTTCCCCAGGACTGTAAAACAGGACCTAAATGAAACCCAGCTCCCTATAAAGCTTGCTCTCAGCTGAACTTCCCGTGGGCTGATAGGCTAAGTAATCTACATTTGCACCAGTTTTCCTCCATGACTCCCTACTTGACCCTGCCCAAAGCAGCCTCCCCCAGCCCCATTCACTTCAGGAGAAATGAAGGCTGTGCCCACCTAATGCTGTTGACAGTGATATGTCAAGACTTCACATCTGCAGTTCCTGTAAGCATTTCTTCCCCAGCCTTCCTTTCTCCCCTTTGTCCCTAAAGGGACTTTTTGCAGAGGTAGAGCGGGTGGCGCAAGAGTACCTTCCTAATGCCCTGAAGCTCATGGCTCCTCTGCCCTTCCAGCTGGGGAGGCTAGGCTGATAGGCTGTGTCGCTGAGCCACCCAGTTCCACAGCACACCCCCTGCCCTGCATCTGGTCCCTGGTCAGGCATGTTGCTACTGCTGCCTTGGAACGCCATTTCCCGTCTTTCTCTGCATGGCAGCTTCTTTCTTGGTCCTCAAGAGCCCACTTGGGTCACTCTCTGTGCAGTGCCCTCTTGATCCCCTGTCCTCTGGATCACATAGCACTTTAGACACAGCTAAGCACTCCATTATAGCCTTACCACATGGTGCTGCAGTGTGTCAGTTAGGTGCCTGCCTGCCCACCACCCCCAGTGAGTGAGTGACAGTCATGAAAAAAACAGGAAGGAAGGAACTGACTCAATAACCATTAGATCCTCCTGTTTTGAGGTCGCCTGCTGTTTGCTGGATACAATGATTATACCATCAACGTCTGGGATGTTCTTAAAGGGTCTCGAGTCTCCATCCTGTTTGGACATGAAAACCGTGTTAGTACTCTACGCGTTTCCCCTGATGGGACTGCTTTTTGCTCAGGATCATGGGATCATACCCTAAGAGTAAGAGAGAAGTTTTTCTATTTTACTCTGTGTATGAGAGGAGGAGTGATTGGCCTGCCTTATAGCAGAGGGGTTAGATGAGCAAGGATGGGCCAAAGCAGCTAAACAGAGCTCTAATTTCAGCACTGCCCATGGCCACAGAAGGAACAAATTGCCTGGGAGATAATGAGTCCCCCATCAGTGCAAGTGTTCAAGCATAGATTAAACAGTGCATCAGCATGCATGTTGTTGAGGGTCTGGGCGATCCAAAGGTTCCCTTTGATCTTAAAAGTCTGATTCTTCTGAGCTCAGACTTTAGTAAGCCACAGATTGCCACTCATCTCCCAGTAGTGAAGAGTTGTTATTCTGTGGAGAATTCCATCAGATTCTCAAAGAGCTCCATGACCTTGTTAATTGTTGATTCTCCAGGAATACCACCAATACAGCAATGCTAAGTTTATTGTTTACCACAGTATGGAAGACCACAAACATGACAGTCATAGTAGAATCCCAGACGGGGAGAGCAAGGGCAGATGTTCATGAGGTTTGGGGTATGGTTTAAGGCAGGTCTTTAGATGGAGGGATTTAATTAGGATTGGACACATTTGTGGCATAATACAGATGGTCCCCAACTTAAAATGGTTTGACTTACCATTTTCCAACTTTACAATGGTGTGAAAACAACATGCATTCATTCAGTAGAAACCGCTACTTTGAATTTTGAGTTTTTATCTGTTCCCTGGCTAGCGATATGTGGTATGATACTCCCGCAATGCCACTTAGCAGCAGCGAGCCCCCCATCAGCCACACCATCACAAGGGTAAGCAACTGATACACTTAAAACCACCCTGTACCCAGACAACCATTCTGTTTTTCACTTTCGGTATAGCATTCAGTAAATTACATGAGGTATTCAACTCTTCATTATAAAAAAGGCTTTGTGCTAGATGATTTTTCCCAGCTGGAGACATTATAATGTAAGTGTTCTGAGCACATTAAAGGTAGGCTAAGGCTAAGCTAGCGATTAGGCTAATGTATTAAATACATTTTTGATTTATGATATTTTCAACTGATAATGGGTTTATCAGGATGTAATCCCATTGTTAAGGAAGACCTGTAGTTTAGGATTACTGGACACCAGGTATGGGGAGGGAGATGATTTCAAAGACAGTCTTAAAAAATAACCAGTCCTCTATAGCATCTTACAATGCTGATGGACAGTGACTGTAATGGGGTATGTGGTGGGGACTTGATAATGGGGAATGTAGTAACCACAATGTTGCTCATGTGAAACCTTCCTAAGATTGTATATCAGTGATACCTAAATAATAATAAAAAAGTAACCAGTCATTTGATGCTCTGTGTTGTCTTGAGAAAAGAAAATCTTTCCTAAGAAGGGTAGTTGGTAGTCTAATCTTAGGATAAATAGATAAAAAGATTTTTTGCCAAGTTCTTGAAACAAACAAAGAAGTTATTTTTGACTTCCTAGGCAAGAGGTCCCTGAATGTGTTGTCGAGTTAATGTACTCAGTGAGCTGTGTGGTGCAGGTGGTTTCAGTGTCCAACCTGAGAGTAACCAGTCCCTGCTAAGGAGGCCACAGGTGCCCCTCACATGTTTTAGCTAAGGGAAAGGGTGTCCAAAGAACCACCTTTGAGTTGTGGGGAGTAAAGTGTTATCCTTCCAAGACTTGTGAGTGTTCTACTTGGGATGGGTGGTGTGTATATGTGTGTAACTGACTTTGATTTTCTCTCTTTAAACTCGTTTTATGAGTCATTAACTACTAAAGGGACTAAAAATTGTCTGTGTCTTTGCAGGTTTGGGCTTAATCATCTGCCCACGATGCACACATGGGTACCTAAGGATGGAATTTTAAATCGTCACATATAAATAGATCTTACTTCTGGAGAACATGAGGGTTGCTTGCAGCTTAGCTTAAAGGAGCAGCTCCACAGCTGAAAAGCTCACTAAGCAACTCCAATATGACTATTAAAACCACCACTGGAAAGATGCCAGTGTGCGCTTTCGCACTAGGAGAACACCTTCAAGTACAGTGTTTTTCATTTTGAACACTTTTTCAAATGTATTCATTTTTAATGTTATTCTCATAATACGAGTCTCAGCTCCATCTATTACCAATAGAATTCAGCATCACGTATGTCCCATATTATTTCCTTGAGTCAGATTTGTTTTGGGAGTACTTTAAAATCTGACCTTTCTCAGTGTGCACTGTGACTTTTGGAACCTTCTTCTAGATGTGCTGATCTTAATGGACTGTTTGAGGGCTGTGTTAATTAATTGGCCTGTCATAGAAGAAAATTCCAATTCCAAATGTTATTGGACAAAATCACTTTTTGAAAATATGTTTCTATTATAAGGGTATCTTTTTCAGTCTCATACTGTCTTATAAAACATTTTCATCTGTGTGAACTGCTATAAATGAAGTCGAGATATGCATAAAGTGGACAGGATGTTTGATTTATGAATTATGATGATATGGTCTATCACTATATCATTTGGACAGGACATTTTGTTTCATTTGAGGGAAAAGCTGAGTGCTGTTTGTGACACAAATGCTTCTCAGAACAACCAAAACCTTTCTCTGTGGTAACACAAAATAGTGAACTTATTTAAAAACCTATTAGTAATATTAGATGTATTAAGATGAGTAGTATCCAGTCAGGCTAAAGAGGATCTTGTCCATACCATACTCAGAAACTATAATATGTGGACTCATACTAGTCCATAAACTGTAGTCATATTTATTGCATTACAGATATAATTACATATACAGATTAATTGATAGGTCTCATGGGATAATGTCTTTGCTTCTCTTATAGTGAGAAAAAAATAGAAGATAACTGGTCTTTATTTGAAATTTAGTAATTCCTTCTGGAACATACCAAGTGTTTTTGTTACAAGGATCCCTTTTCCTTTTTTTATTTTAGATGTCAAGGCTTATTGTTTTAGAAAATTCATTCGTAAAAATGGCATGCATTACTTAGAGAAATAAAAGGTCACCTCAGGCACCAAAAGCCATTCCTGTGAGGCTCACCCTGTGGGCAGTCTGGGATGTGACAGGCCAGGTCCTTGGGGTGCCCAAGGACGTATGTCCGGAGTTCCCCAGATCTCCTGTTCTCTTGGCCACCTCCAACCTGGCCCTCCTCTTAGTAGCCGTGTTGGCTTTGCAGGCCCAGCCATAGGCCCTGCTGCTCAGAGAAGCCCTCCCCAGAGATGAGCCAGGCTCAGAGAGGTCTGTCAGTCACCAGGGAGGTCTGAACCTGGCACTTCTGGAAGCACCAAGGGCTTCCGGACATGCCTTCACTCAGACTACCTGTGATGAGCCAGTCAGTCAAAAATCAGCCAGTCCAGGTTTTTCCATCAATTCTTGTTAAACATTAGGGTTATATCTGGTCATCTGCCAAGCAAACTTTTACCAAGGGCTTAACTACACAGCAGGCCCTAGGGTAAAGAGTGAAATATGAAAGGTCCTTGCTTGCCTCCAGAGAGCCCAGAGGGAGGGACCGTGGTCCAGAGGGATGCTGTTTCAGCCATCTTCTCTCCCAGCCTTCTCCCTCCCCCAGTGGATTCCAGTCTGGGCAGGGGCCATGGGGTGTCCTGCCAGCTGCAAAAGCAGAAAGGTCCCAGAGTGTGTCCCGGGGTATTTCCAAGCTCTGCTCCCAGGATGTTACAGAGGTTGTGCCTAGCTCCTAGCTAGGATACCCTTCCCTCTTTCCCACAGACCCTTCAGTGTCTCTGCATTCTAACCTGGGCCTCCCAGAAGTAAAGGAAGACAGGACAAAGGAAACATCATCTAGACTCAGGGTCAGCAATTTCAAGGTTATGTGTTTGGAGAGAGAGAGAGCCTCTTCAGTATATGTACAAAATAGCCCATAACTTCCCAATTAAAAAGCTACAAAAAAAACTTTTTAACTATGAAAGTATTCCCTAGAATGCTCCCTTAGCCCCATGGGCAGTAAGCCACTTACAAGTATTTAATCTCACAGTAGGTGTTGTTTAGTATTTATTGATGAAATACTTGGTTTGGAATATACAGCACCATGTGGAAACTCCAGGTAATAAATTGTATTTTGCATATTGAAAATAGACTGAGTGGGGTTTTTTAATCAGTTTTCCTTTTTTTTAGAGGACTGGAGGGCATACCTACCAAGCCAGTTGTGGTGGAGGGCCCAAATGGGTGTACCCCCAGTGTGCACAGCCTGGACTGCCCCTCCCTAGGCAGAGAAGGGTTAGGCAGGAGGGGGTCGGGTAAGGTGTGCAGTGATGGGCAATCATGGGAAATACCTGTGAAGTGAAACCAGGGCAGGTGCTTTGCAGTAGGCAGCCAGCCAGCCTCAGGAAAAAGTGGGCCCAGCCGCCAGCCGTGTTCTGGAATGAGCCAGAAGCCAGCACTCCATGACCACTTCCCTCCTGCACACCTCCCTGGATTATAAGTGGCTTAAGAAGCAGCACAAGGTCATAAAGGCCCTCGCATCCTGGACCCTTGTAGTTGCTTGGCCAGCTGGCTGGAAGGTGGCATTGCTGACAGTAGGACTCGTGTCAGAGGAGGCCAGCCTGGTGACAAAGGATGTGCACCTATGTTCAGACCCAGCTCTACCACTCTTACAGGATACCTGACAATATCTGAATTTCCTAATTTCCTCATCTATATAACAGAAGAGCACCGAAGTGCATAAGGCACCCACCTCGGCGTTTGGCACATAGTCAGCAAGGGTTAGAGCCCAGCTTCCCCCCTCCGTCTGTCCCCCCTCCTTCCTCCCCCTGCCCCCCTGTCCCTCCCTTTCCCCCCTCCTTGCCTCCTGGTTCCCCTGCTCCTTGCTCTTCTCTCTCTCTCCTTCCTCCCCCTCCATAAGCTGTCCCTGCTCATGCAGCCATTTAGTAATTATCAATCAGAGATTCATCTGGGCCAATGGTTCACTCTTTGGTCTTATGATCCCTCTGCACTCTTAAAAATTGTTAAGGACCCCAAGGAGGTTTTTGTTTGCATGGATTATCTCTCTCAATATTTGCCATGTTAGAAATTAAAACTGAGAAAAGCTGTAGAACACAAGAATACAGAAGCACACACTCCCTTGGTCGCGCTTTTACCACACATCCGAAGCCTCCGGGTGACTCACCAGAGAATGAATTTTAAAGCCACACATACAAAACAAGACTATAATCATGAAAATTGTTTTGACCTTGGAAGACCCCCTGAAAAGGTCTCAGGGACCCCCAGGTTGGGACCGTACTTTGAAAACAGCTGCTGGGGCTAACGCACCCTTCCCAGGCACCTCTCTATGGGAACTCCTGAGGCCAGGAAGGCCCTTGTAGGAGCGGGAAGAAGTCCGGGAGGCGATGAAGGTGACTGCGGAGAGGGGCTGAGGAAAGGCCCCCCCCACGAGGCTGTGGGATGACCGCCGGTAGCGCGGGAGGTCCTGGAGTGGTGCAGAGGGGGAGGGGGAATGGCCAGAGACCGTGAGCCGCTGAAAATCTTTTCAAAGGAGGACACTTGGGGTCCCGGGAAGGCCCAGCGGTTAGATTAACTGGACTTGGGGTCACATCGCTGTCAAGTGGCTCCCCCCGAGCCTGGGAGAGCTGACTGAGCAGGAATTTGTAGATCTGCATTTACCAAAATTGGCTGCTGAGAAAATCATCCAGGTCAACAGCAGATTGAAAATACAGATCCTTAAATCCCCTCCCCTGGAGACCTAATCCAGGATGGGCAGGACTGAGTTGGGCCAGGAATTCTGGTGAGGGAAGTTGGGAAAAGCTGTCAGTGGATCCGTTTGCAAGGACATGAGGCTGAATTGCTCACCCTTTCACCGGTGGCAAGAGAGAGTAGGGTCACTCTTAAAGGCACACCAAGTCCCCTCATTCTCTAGGTCAGACCTGGCTGGAGCTACTGGCCTTCAGGACTGGTCAATTCTACAGCAGGTGGACTCAGCAATTTCTGGTGAAAGAAATGAAAGTAATATGTTTGTGTCATTATGTAAAGGATGCAGACCCTCTCTAATGGGGAGATGGGCTCAGGAACAGTGCTCTGGTTAATCTAACCACATAAATGAATATGAAGAACTAAATGTAAATGTGATATGAGCATTTATGCAATGATTGTGACAGCAGGAAATGCCCTCTTTAAACCCAAAGTTACCTAACCAACATGCCACTAGTGAACACTTAGCCTTGTCATAAACCAGGAACCATGAAGCCACCACTGTTCCCCACCTATCTGTTCCTAGGAACAGGCAGCCTCCTCTGGGTCTGTACCCAAGAGAAATGAAAACATGTCCACACAGAAACTTGAACACAGATGTTCGTAGCAACCCAAAGTGGAACCATTCAGATGTTCGACAATTGAAGAATGAATGAACAAAATGTGGTATATCCATACAAGGGGATATTATTCGACAGGAAAAAGGAAGAAGTACTGACTGGATACCACAACATAGATGAACCTTGAAAACATCATACTAAGTGAAAAAAGCCAGACACAAAGGATGACATAGTGTATGATTCCATTTTTATGAAATATCCAGAATAGGCAAGTCCATATAGACAGAAAGCAATAGGTGGTTACTTAGGAGTAGGAATGGGATGAACGGGTGAGACTGCTAATGGATATGAGGTGTTCTTGGAGGTAACGGAATTAAATTGTCATGATGGTTGCACAACTCTGAATATACTAAAAACCACTGAACTATACTTTAAAAGGGTGGATTTTATGGTATTTGAATTACATCAAAATAAAGCTATTAAAAATACAGATAGAAAAAATAGGCAGTCTGTAGCTATTTTAGGTATTAAAACAAGCCATATAGGTAACAGTCACCAAAATGTCACATTTTGGCTTTTGGACAAGTGAGTATGGTAACCCTGGTCAGTTCATACTAATAATAAAAGCTTTTCTGTAAAGAGCTTTTACTATGTGCCAGGTACTGTGCTGAGCACTTGGCATACACCAATCCTTGTAACAGCCCTATGATGCAGACAGTTTACCTCCATTTTTTAGGAGAGGAGATTGAGGCTAGGAAAGCTAAGCAATTACTCATGGTTGCCTAACTTCTAAATGGCAGAGCCAGGATATTAACCAAGTCTAACTCAAACTGCTTCCTTACATCGTGTAGATTGGAAATTCTGTGTGGAGATTAATTATTCATTTGTTGTTTAGTTCCACTGAAAATTATTAAGAGTTAACCAATGGCAGGGCCAGAGGATTTGCCACTCACCCCCAAGTTACTCAAAACTCTTAAGAAAAAAAAAACCTGTGCACTGCTAAAATATGTTCAAAAAGGTAAATTCATGACTCTCTGAAAAAAAGACACAAACATATCAAAACATTAATTAGTTAATTAATTTTTTAAAATTTATTTTTATTTATTTTTTTATTTTTTGAGAGGGCATCTCATATTTATTGATCAAATGGTTGTTAACAATAAAATTCTGTATAGGGGAGTCAATGCTCAATGCACAATCATTAATCCATCTCAAGCCTAATTCTCGTCAGTCTCGGATCTTGTGAAGCACAACGAACAAGTTCTTACATGCTGAACAAATTCTTACATAGTGAATAAGTTCTTACATGGTGAACAGTACAAGGGCAGTCATCACAGAAACTTTCGGTTTTGATCACGCATTATGAACTATAAACAATCAGGTCAAATATGAATATTTGTTTGATTTTTTTTTTCAGGCGTACAACACAGTGATTCAACATTTATACACAT